TCGGGGGATGGGGGGAAGCCCCGGGTTCCTCATTCACGACGCGGCTAAATGGGTCTCTCGTTCCCAGAGTGGGGCTTGCAGGCTCTGGAGCTGCTGCTGCGCAGGAGCCCGGCGACTGGGGATAGGAATCCACACATGTTCAGGAGGCGCTCGCGAGCCCCATGGGATGGGTCGGGATGGGCGGTGATCGTGGTGCGCCGTCGTCGGTGGTGTTGAATTTCAGCGACGCCCTGCGCACGATGACTTTTGGGCGGCGCGCCCTAGCATTTTCATGATGGGGCCGCGTTCATGTTTGCACAGGACTATGTACGAGACGGGCGCGTTGGAAAATTCTACCCAGCCGCTGACCGTGAAGGAGTAGCGAGCACGATCTTCTCGTGGCCGGCTGTATGGGCTATTTGGGCAATAAGCATCTTGGGGCTTCTTGGCGGCAGTGGATACGCTGCTGCGTAGCTTTTGTACAGCAAGTTCTGCGCGTCCGTCCTTCAATCCGCCCGTTTACGCGGCTGCATTCTGTACTGCATGTGTTTTTGCCGTCAAATATGCATGGCTGTGGTGCACGGAAAACCTGGCGTCTCCCTTACTAGGTGAGTATATGCGACGAGCGAACGCGGTTGTTAAGGAGATGCAGGCCTTTTCTAAGTAGCAACAGGCTTTGTTGCCAGCAGGTGATGTTGCTGCCTTTTTTCTGGTATATCAGCAGCTGGTGATCGAGGAGAGTGCGGTAGCATTCTTCATCGCCAAGGAAGCCGCCCCTGTGAGCAGACTCCAATATTACCATGTGCTACAGGCCATTTTGCAGGTGGAACGGATGCCCGTGGACAGATTCAGTGTAGCTGCTTTTGTCTGCGGCCCGTGTCGCATTGTGGAAGAAGGACCATCGATTATTATTATTATTATTATTTGTCTCTTGTGTGTGTTTTTTTTGGGGGGGGAGGGGGGACTTTTCTGTTGAGTCCTCGGAAGGGCAAATTGAGTGCTTACGCCAGAAAGTCACATCTTCTTTGTGTAACTATCCCAAACCTGTCTTCGCTTCTGTATTTAATCTTTTCAATTTTTATTATTTTTGGAAGGACTTTCCTTTTTTTTTTTTTTTTCTAGGATAAAAAAGGGGGGCTTAAGTTGGGTCTGGGCAGTGGACGCGGGCGCAATAAACGACGGGTTTGTTGGACTTACTACTGGCACTGATCCCTTTTCGGCGTACGAGAACAACAGGGAGAACCCTATAGGAATACGCTGAGGGACGACAGCCATTACTAGTACTACTACTAATAAAAATAATACTAATACTACTACTACTGCTGAACCTAAATTTCCAATGGAATTGTCAGTGTCTCCTGATGTACAACGTTCAAAAGGGTATGTGTCTCACTCATTCCACAATCTAAAGGTGCCTTTTACAGCCGCTCGGGCTGACGAGAAAGCATGGCCAGAGGCAGTGTTTGCAGGTGGCATTTCTCACGATTGGACGTCCTCGACTGGCAATTTACCCAGTGGTCAGCCGTTGGCGGCGTGTGGCGGTGGCAAACCATCGAATAGCATGAAATGCACACTCTCTGGCAGCACGTTGACTAAGTGGAAGAGCGATAGCAACGTGGCGGCGAAGCTATTGGGGAACGCTGATATCATGCGGGCGGGCGTCGCCAAAACAATTCCCGTAATGCCCATCGAAGAAGTTCGTCGCATGAATCGCTGTTGGGGTTGTCAGGTTCATTTGAGGCGCAGCGAGTGTCATTGTCATCACCAAGACCAACACCACCACCAGCAGCAGCAGCAAAAGCCGTCCGTCATGAGTGCGGGTAACCCCAGCAATAACGAGATCCTTAATGGCCATTTTCAATCTGCTCGTCTTTCATTTTTTAGGAAGACGTTTAGCAGCAACCGATCTCAGCATCATGGGGGAAATCCCCGGCATCACCAGGCTCACCATTATCAGCAACACCACGGCAGTCATCACAATCCTATCCATGTTACTGGAACTGCTCGTCGGTCTCACCGGCATCGCGGATTTGGTGCCGCTGCAGTGGAGGTGATTCGCAACCGGACATTGGCCGGAAACAGCTCGCCGCACCACAAAACACGCTCTCCGGCGAATAAGGGACGCAAGCGGCATGGGAAACCCTGTCACGTCAACGAACAGGAGGGTCATACGGAGTTTCTTGTTCCATTGCCCCGCTCCAGGTTATCACTGGATGGCAGACAGGAGTCCTCGACGCCAGTGGATGAAGAAGTTAAAACTAAATTCACTGCGTCAGGGTCCGAATTAGGTAGCGGGGTCGTGGGGGATAACACTCCATCGGCTTTCCGTTTGTCGAACATTGCGCCCTTTTATGAATGTGCAATTCAACAACTTATTACGATTTGCGGACGGCGAACATCTAACGCGCCCGAAGCCGCGCATGGGATATCATGCAATGAGAATCCAGAAAATTTACAGAAACCGAAACTGTCGTCTTGTCTCGCGAGCATCCGCTCATTTGACATGGCATCTTCAGTGAATTTGAAGCCTTTTTCAGCACCCCCATCAAAGTTTTCATTATCGCAGCATGCCCTTTTCACAAGAACCCTCTGTTCCAGTGTTGGGGGATCAATGCAGCATGGGAGTGGGATGGAAGAGACTTCTTGTTCATCAAACGATATGGATCCTGCACAGAATGAAGGACAGCAGAATGAAGAGAAAGAAATACAATGTGTAGCTATGGCGAGTGGAGACGCTCCGAAACTTGTATCGGAAGAAGTAAAAGAACAAGAAACATCTCCTACAATGGTGCAGCAGTTAATTGAATCTATTGGAGTTTACGTGGCGTATGGTGATGCTGCTCCTATGGTGTTAATAGGGGCTTTGGTGTACATATCACGTATTACGCTACAGTCTCCTTCTGAAGACGTTGGTGTAACAAATGCGAACTGGTACCGTCTTGTTGCCATTGCCATTTTAATCGCGACGAAGATGTACGTGGATGGGTCGCGGAAGTGGAATGAGCGTATTTCCAAAGCCACTGGTATCTCATTAAAAGAGGTTCAAAAACTTGAGCTGGATTTTTTGTTTCTTATTGACTTTGCGTTACTGATAAAGGAGGAGGAGGTGGAGACATGGGCGGAGTGGATGGAGTCGGTGGCAAGAAAACGCGGAATGTCCACGCAACTGCGTACGTTTATTTTTGGCAGAAACAGTTGTCCTCCATCTACCGCCACGACACCGTTGTCTTCATTTGCAGGAGAGGATGCTTTTTCACGATCTTTTTCGCACATTCCATCGGGAAATTTGCCATCGACGCCCGTCTCGCTCACTCCGGCAAACATGACACCTCAGATCAATGCCCATGTCTCCCCTGGAACAATGAAGTCAGCTTGCCTTTCCCAGCGACTTTCCATGTCTTTTGTACTGGATTTGGCTGAGAAGCATCCTATACCAACCTCGCATTTGCATCCTTCACCGTCTTCGTTTCACGCTTGCGAGACCCCAAACCTGTTTTTTCCCTCACCCATGTACGCTTCACTGGATTTCCACAGAACAGAGCGTCTGTTTTCCATCGTGCATGCCCCCGAAGAGCCCTCGACACCGGTAAAACTACTGGAGGTGTCGCAGTTATTTAATGATGCTCCAAACTCCATACCGTTTACACCGCCCGAGCAGGAGACCCGGTCACCCATTGAATTCTTTAAAAGGTCTTTTCTTGCGGAAGGGGCGTGTAACAGTGACACATCTTCAGGGAAGGCGAGATGTGGCATGGATGTATTTCAAAAAAATACGGGCAAGAACGACGCTCGACGCTTGGACTTTGATACGTTTGACGCGTTTGATGAGGAACAAACGCCTCCACATCGTCCACTGAACGTCTTGTCTCCGCCCGATCAACTGAATATAGCATTACCCCCTCGTGCGGAGTACAATTGTTTTGCAAACTTCAAAAAGAACAATAGTAATAGGGATATTCCATTCAATAACGGGAAAACGTTCACTGTAACGGCGCCACAATCATTGTACTCTTTTCCTCAAACACGGGAAGATAAAAATGTGCGAGAACACGCAACAAGAAGTTCAGCATCTGGTTCCGCAGAGAAAAGAACCCCGCGGACCAAGGCGGACACGACTGAAGTGACACCGCATGTTAACATCAAATCTAAGTATGATAAATTGGTGCATGCTATATCGAACGTCCGTGATTTATTTTGTGTGAAGCCGTTGTGTGTGCGCGACACCCCCTTCAATGCACTGAGCGTGGCTACGGGTGGTAGCGGAACCGCAGATATTGGCGAACGAGACATGTATAACAACAACAACAACAACAACAACAACAGCAAAGATGTTGATGACCGTTATGTTGCTGAATGTGATGAAGATGAGGATCACGATGCATTTTTGGACGAATTTGAAGACGACAGGGATAATTTTTTTCTTCGGTGCCGCCCAGTGCTGACGCACTCTCCACCGGCGTAAAAACACCTCTTCAAACTGAAATGACGCCCCACTATTTCCTTATCCAACGTGCACACGCAGACACACTACGACAAACGCACACACACACACAAAAGAAAAAAAAAAGAAAGAGCTAGGGACCGGCGGACACAAAAGTAAGGCCAGTGATAGAATGGGGAAGGAGACTACAATGTTAAATCAGGGTGCATTGTATGGCGGGCTTTTTTTTTTTTTTTTGCTCTTCTTTCTGATTATACGAAAAAGAAAAACGGAAAATAAAGTTGTTTTATTATTATTATTATTATATATGTATTGTTTATTTATTTCTCTGCGTTTGTGGTTGTGTCGCATTTTCTTTCTTCCTGTGTGTCTGTGTGTCTGTGTGTCTGTGTGAATGACGCTTTCACCCCCCCCCCCCCCCCCGTATTCTATCAATTTTCTTTTCTGCATGGGATGGGATGTACAATGAAATACGAAAAAAAAAAAAAAAAAAGGAGGGAATAAGACGGGCCTCTATCAACAACCATGCATGCATGGATGCATATACGGATATATGGATATATATATATATATATGTATGCCAAATGATTGTCATCCCATTGTTATTATTATTATTATTGTTATCCCTTTTTTGTGTTTATTCTCAGGAAAAAAAAGAAGAAAAAAAAGAAAAAAAAATTGTTTTTTTCAGATTTTATTGTATGTGCGTGTGTGAATTTGTTTCGTTGCTTTCTTTGCTTATTTTTGCCATGTGCGCATCTTTTATAGGTTTGTATCCGGGGGTATTGCTTCAGGGGGCAGTTATTCTGTGCGAGGAGAGAGGGCGGAAGGAAGTTGGGTGGTGGTGGTGGTGGTGGGGGTAATGCGCCACCTCTTTTTAGTTACACCCCTTCACACTGTGCGTCGCACGCCCTTTACTTTGCCTTTATTTTCTATCCCTGTATTTTTTTGTTTTTGTTTGCTTTTTCTCGTTTGTTTTGTTTTTTGTGTGTCTGCATGTGTGAGGGCCATTCGTTGCTCTCCTTTTACTCGCCCTGTGCGGATTGTGGCGGCGGTACTGAGAGCGGGAGGTCCACGCGCAACTTAGAAGAAAAAAAATATATTTTGTGCGTGCAGGCGTAAAGAGGGGGAGGGGGGCATATGAGCGCGAAAGTGTCGACTGCAACTTTGCCCGCCACGCCCCTCTTCTCTCCACCTCCTGGCAGAAGAAAGAAGAAAAAAAAAAAAAGGAGGCAGTGAAGTGGGGAGGGACGCGTGGGAAAAGGGCTGCCGCGCATGTCCCTTCGCGATGTCAACACGAGGCACCGTTGTGGCTCTCCAGCAGCGCACGCATCGAGCGGTGAACGCCCTTTTTTTTTTTGTTGTTGTTTTTTGTTTTTTGTTTCCTTTTGTTTTGTCTTTCTTTTTGTGGTCGTTTACAAAATTTCTTCCTCTCTCTCATTTTTCCAGAAAGAAAAGAAAAGAAAATAAAGTAAAAAAACACGCACACCAAAAGGGGTCGTTGCGAAGAAGAAAAAAAAAATGCACACAAAAAACAGGAATGAGAAAATGATGCCGCAACGGGTGAGGTGAGCCGTACATATGCATATGTATATATGTATATATGCATGCATGCATGTAGGTGCTTATGCATGTGGATAATGGACGGCACAATGATTCGAGAAACGCAAATTATAACCCCTTTTTTGTTTTTTTGAATTTGCGAAGACCAAAGCCAGAAAGAGGGGAAGAAGGGGGAAGGGGGATGGAGGTGGATGGAAGAGAATGACACGTTTAACTGTGACGATTCTCTTTGCTTCCTTTTCTACAACTTTATCCTCTTGATGCATTTTTGCCTTTTTTTTATTTATATATAAATATATATTGTTTAGTCTTTATTTATATTTTTGTTTATTTATTTATTTTATTTTATTTTTTTTGGTGTGGGAGGGGAGGGGAGAGTTCACATTTTATTGTGACCCTTTGACTCTTTGACTCTTTTTGTGGGTGACTGGTGTTTTTGCTTTGATTTTTTTTTTCCTTCTTGCTTTAGGGAACTGTGGAAGGAGTTCGCCGTCAAATGGGGCCAGGTAGATGACACCGCGTTGGAAGATGCTGCTTTTTCCACTCCTCCCACCCACTCCTTCCCGCTGCTGCCGCTGCTGCCCTCCATGCGGTGGACAGGGGAAGAGTTAGGGGGATTGCGGGGCCCTTTCAAAGCCTGTCCTCTCGCGACTTCACAACAGGCCGGACTGTTGCGTAATGCCTCTTGTATGAATTTGGCTCTTTAACGGGTGTGTGGCTGTTGGATGAATCTCAAACGGATTGTGGGATGCCAGGCACACGGAACCAAGCTTTAATCTTCGCTTTTTCCTTCCTTCTTTCTCCTTGCGGGAAGCAGAGCGACTAGGCATCGGCCAGACACGCATTTGTTTTTTGTTGTGTTTTTTCTTTCTTGTATTTTTCTACACAATATTTTTTTAAATTTTTTTTTTTTTTGTTTGTTTTACAGTTTTTCTTTTTTATTTGCCCCGTGATGCCTGGGAACTTCACGACGTAGAAGCCGATGCCTTTTTTTCTACACACATTACTGCAGCCGTATCGTCTTATATCTTCTTCCTCTTTTTGATTTACGTTTGCGCCCTCATCTCTGTGTCCATGTGGACTGTTTGCCTTTAAAATTGGACATACTTTTTCTCTCCGTTTTATTTTTTCTCTGTTTAATGTGGATTTTTTTTTTTTTTTGCAGGGAAATTGCGCCGCGTGTACTCCGGTCTTGCAACCACAAGGAGAGAGGAACTGGTGGGGTGGGATAGCGCTTGAGTGCAATCGTAAATATTTTCGAAGCAGCAACACGGTTAGGGAAGGAGCTAAGGAAGTATCAAGGGAGTGGGGCCAAAAGGAAAACAAAAGCGAAAACAAAAACAAAAACAACAATTGTGTACGTGTGTGTAGGCGGGGGAAACTGTTGGACGGACATACGTTTGTGCAGATTTCTTTATATTTTATATCTAGATAGTCTTTCCTTCTTGCTTTTTAAAAAAAAAAAACTCTTGTGTGTCGTGCGTGTCCTGCAACTCTGTGGGTGACGATAGCGATAGACATGACGAGGGTTGCGGTGGGGGCACGAAATTCGGATAAAACTTGCCGCAAAAGACGGCAGGAGGAGGTAACTTCCAGCAAGAAAAAGGACGTAGCAACGGCCGTTGTGAAGGAGGCGCCAGATGGTGAGGGGCCATTTCTCCCACACAACACTCCGGAGGAGGGAGGACGCGAATCGCTGCCGTCGGTGTCAAGGGCCGTCGTCAATCTCTTGGACGTTGTGGCGGAGGAAGACAGCCTCACACCGACCGGTGCTCGAGATGCAGCAGGAGGTGGTTGTAAGGGCTCCAAGGGCGGCAAAAAAGGGAAGACGGCAGCGATGAAAAGTGACGATGCGGGCAAAAAGAGGGTGTTGTCTGGTACATCACCAAAGAAGGGAAAGGCAAAGCAACGGTCAAAGGCGTCCAAGACGAAGCCCGGCAAAGCTGAGTCTGGAGGAGAATCTAGTGTCGAAAATGTGGGAAAGGGACAGGGCGAATTGGACAGCAAAAAGGAAAATGGCGATCATGCGTTTTCGTTGCATCAGCAAATACCTGAGATGAATAACATTTCCGTCAAGGTGCACCTTGTGGAACATGATATCTCAGAGCTGCAGATTGATAGGACGTCCTGTAGAAATGGCACTTCATCTTCTCGTTTAACTCCTTCACGTGATTTATCCGGTTTTAATGATTGTTTTGAGGGAATGAATAGTTGCGAGGTTATTAGCAATAATAATAGTAACAAGAACGGCTTGAGCAACAACTCCAATGAGGGTTTTTTATCACTGAAGGAGCAGGACACAGCGGAGAAGCCACTCTCACTGCGTTACTCCGTGATGCCTCCCCTGACCATTCCAAGGGAGGGACGAAAGGAGCACACGCAACAGAAGGATGGGGCAACAAAAAATGCCTCCGTCCATGCGTCACGTGCACCTTCCGCGCCCTCTGTAAGTTTAGTTTCTGGAAATTCATCAGGTGCCGATACAAATGGAGAAAAATTTGCCAGAAGAAGTGCACATTCATCTCTTGAAGAGGCGTTAGATGGATTGTTGCCAAAAAACATTTTGTACCCAACCCGACAACTTCTCACTCGAAGTTTGGCCTCAGCAGCCGAAAAGGAACGTACTGCGACAATAGTATTTGACCTTGACGAGACGTTGTGCAACAACCGTCAACATGGTCCGGCAATACTTCGTCCCGGTGCTGTGGAGATGCTGAAGCAACTTAGGGCTTTGTACCCTCATCCGGTAATGCACAAGGGAGAAACACCAATGGAGCCCACCGGTAAAAATTCTTCCACACAGGTACTGGAGGGTGGGAAGGACAACGGCATCCAAAATTCTTCTCCGGAGGCGACAGAAACTCCCACAGATGACGGCGTCATGTTGCGACTTGAGATTATAATCTGGACAGCGAGTGTGGAAGTGGTTGCTCGGCCCGTTATTGCCCGCTTGGATCCTGATGGTACCATTCTCGACGATGTCATTTATCGTGATGTACGTTGGTATCGTGACGGAGGGTATACGAAGGACTTACGCCGTATCGGACGTCACCTGGAGCGTAACGTCATTGTAGAGAATGCGCCTTCTTGTGTTTGTATGAATCGACGCAACGCCATTCTCGTGAACGACTTTGTTAGCAATCCTGCCGATCGGCAACTCGTTATTGTCCGTGCTATTTTACAGGAATGGCTTTATAATGTCAACGCGTTGCTTGTGCATTGGCACTTCCAAAAGCTTAAACAGAAGCGACACAATATGATAGAAGATGGCGGTGAGAGTCCCGAGCCTGACAAGCCCATGATTGACCCTCTCGCTCGAGGTGGTTCCGCGCATAGCTCCGTGTCGAGAAGTAAAGGAGAACTTTCTCTTGTGCCATCATCCCATGGCGGGGGAAATTTGTTGCAGGAACTCGAGCAAAAGGCCTCAGCGATCCATTTTCTCACGCATCATCCGTTTCTTTCGCCGGGAACGCGTTACGTGAAGCCGTCTGTATGGAAAAAGGCTGCGAAGTATCTTCATGGCTGCGCTGGTTCGACCACAGCAGCAGCCAAACCTTTGATGGCAATGCCAGCAGCAATGGCAGGAGAAATTGGAGGGGGACGCGGTCCCCAGGAGCTGCCGGCCACCGCTCCGGCTCGTCCAGTGGCTTCTGCAAAGCCGCGGGGACACCGCTCGTTCGTCGACATGGCGCGTGGACCGCGTGAAGTCCGTTAGGGCCGTAAAAGCGGAGGCAGTTTTTTTTCCTCGTGCACCCGTGCGCCGTTCCTCCTGGAGCATTAGCCTGGAGTTGTGGAGTTGAAGGAGAACGCGACGGGAGGAAAGGAGAGGAAAGGATAAAAATTTTAAAAAAGGTCCAATGTCACCAAGATGTGCCCACCGTTGCAGCCACGACGTCATGTTTTATCAGGCGTTTCATGATTTAACATCCTTTGAGAATACTCACAAAATTTCAGTTTTTTCTCCCTCTCAATATATATATATATAATAATAATAATAATAATAATAATAATAAGAAAAAAGATAGAAGGAAACGATGATAACAAAAAAAAAAAAGGACAGAATGAATGGAAAAGAGAAAGCGAGAGGGAAAGAGAGAGACTAGGCAAAATGAATGATATATCATCATGAAGAGAAAGTACATTGATTAATTTTTTCTTTTGATTTGATACAAAGAGCCACATTCATATATCCTCCTTGTCTCATGACTCTGAACACACGAGTGCGGGCAGAAGCGAGGGAGTGGAGAAACGCGGATAAAACGAGGAAAAAAAAATTTTTTTCTTAAACAGTCACATGTCAAAAGAGAAGAGAAGAGAAAAGGCCTATGGAGAAAAAGAAAGGTGAACAACGCTGGTTTCTGTCTTTGCCTTTTTATTTCTTCCCTCTATTTCTTTTTCTTTTTTTTTTTTTTTTCCTTTTATTTACCTGGTGATTTGTTAATTCCCATGCCTACGGGAAGTGTTGAAAGAAATGTAAAAATGTCTGCTTCACTCTCGGTAGACCCCCCAGAAGGAAGGAAAGAAACGGGAGAAGAGATGTTTCACAAAAAGACACACACGTATATATCACACACACCTCAAAAAGAATGTGTTTTGTGTCCACATCCTATATTAATAACCCAAGAGGGGTCTGTTTTGTTTTTGTTGTTGTCTAGTTTTTAGTTCTGTACGTGTTTGCACTTGTGGTGGAGCGTCCCTTTTTTTTTTTTTTTTTTTTTTTTTTTTTCAGGCTGGTGGTTAGTTGATTATCTTTTTTTTTTTTTTTTTTTCTTTCAACATTTATATACAGACGTATATTATATTATATTATATGTATGTATGTATATGTATATACTATACTTTATTATCTGGCTGTTGGATATGAATGGAGTTTGCCACGAGAAGGTGAAGCTCATTGGTCGTGTGTGCTTCATGGAAAAAAGTGACCGTCACCGCCACAAGAAGAGTGTGACAATTGAAATTTACAAGACGAGTTGGTGGTAAAAAAAAGCGTGTTTGTTTTTGCGTGTGAAAAAGTTTTATTATTATTATTATTATTCACTGCGGCTAACTTTCTTTATTTTTGTTCTTGTGCCAGCTTGTGGGATGCGAGAGCCCACGAGGGATTTTGTGGGAAGTTGGAGAAAAAAGGGAATCCGGGGTGGAGCGTGGGGCGCTGCTCTCTCTCTCTCTCTCTCTCTCTTGGGGAGGGGGTATTCTTGGTTATTATTTGAGTTCTTTTTTTTTTTTTTTCGTGTCTGTGCGTTTTGTCTCCCCTCTCATTTTTTTTTATTTGTGTGTGTTTCTTCTTTTCACCTGCTGCACCACCCCTTTTTTTTTCTTTCTTTCTGCGCGTTTGCCGCTGTTCTTGCGTATCCGCCCCATTCCACTTTTTTTTTTTTTTTTAAATTCTCCCCCGTCTGCTTTCCTTTTTTTTTTTTCCTTTTTCTGATCCCACTGTGCATGCCTTCACAGTTTTTTTTTTTTTCAGTTTGTTTTTCTTCCCGTTTTTTTGTTGTTGCGGCCTTTATCCTCTTGTTGTTGTATTCCTCCTATTGCCATGCAGCGTTTTTCCCCACCTCTCTCTCTCTCTGCGTATCCGATTGCCCTTCACGGCATTGTGTTGCAGCTGTCTCCACGGGTGCCTTTTCTTTTTCTTTGTTTTTTTGATTTGGAGAAGTGTCGGATGTCATGCGGCAAAGGCAACGACAGTTAGGCCTCGAATTATTGGCTCCGGCAGCCGCGAAGCCGAGGACGGCGTTGTCATCGTCGTCGCTGTTATGGGCGCGGCGATGTGCGGGGTTGTCCCTCTCCGGGAAGAAGCAGTCACCCGTGACCCCGTTCTTTGCCGCGTTGTTCCCCGCTCACTTTGCGGGAGACGATGTCGCTTTGCGTCGAGTGTCATTTGTGCGGCGTGCCTTGTTGGCGAAAGGGGAGAAGGCCGTCGGCGGTGCAAGGACTCCAGGGAGTAAGTGGTCTTCTGCTGCCACCGCCGCTCCCTCTTCTTCCGTCGTTTCCTTGCGGCCGTGGCATGTGATTGCTAACCTGAAGCATGCCGTCCTCTTCGCCATGAATGACGAGGAGAATTCCAAAGAAAAAAAGGCGGGTGAAGCTGAAAAAGGCTGCAGCACCCTCCATCAAGAGGATGAGCATGAAGCGACGTGTGCACGGAGGGGCGTCAAAAAGGACGAGGGAGAGAAATGTGGGGACGGAAAACGACATGTGGCACCTTCCGAGATCGTTAGACTCGTACGTCATTCTATTCGCATTGTTGAACAAAAAAACACGCGGGTGAGAGCGGACTTGATGATGGCGGATGCCAACGCAGTAGGAGGCACGTCTCGGTTACAAGAAATGGACGATAACTTGCGGGAAGAGAAGGATGTGTTGCGGAATGTCCTACGGAAAGTACCAAAAGAAGCGCTGATGTCATATGTTCTTGGCGGCGATGATGGAATGGGTGGGGCGGCAAACTCAACTTTGGAGCCTCTGCGTTTCGCCTTGAAACAGACAATGCGTTCTTCTTCATACGCGTTTCATCTTACTTTTGAAGCGCTTCTGCGTCAGGGGCAGGATCACATGGCAGTGGAGCTTTTTCGTCGCTGGTGGCGTCATAACCCGCACTTATTCCCGATTGAGCTGGGGCCAGACCTTGGGCAGGATGTATCCTCAATGCTTTCTGTCATCAGGGCAGGAGGTGACACCACCACCGCTCTGCAACGGGACATGATCTTCAGACGCCTAGCACAAATTCCATACAAGAAATACACGGTGACATCGGCGTTGTTCACGCGGGTCATGAAGGTGGCGTTGTGCCTCGGCATTCCTGCACTGGAAGAATTTGTTTTACAGGAACTGATTTACAAGGGAGTGTATATGGCTTGTTGTGCTTCTCGCACTGGTAATGAGAATGGCAATGGTCAGAAGACGGAGGCCTCGGCGTCTCATACAGATCTGCATTTTCATGCGTTTCAGGAAAATTACGAAGATTGGCTTGTACTCATTGGAGCCATAGCGGCAGCTGCGGTACTAGAACGTCATGCCGAGGACTTTTGGCGGGAAAAGCCTGGTGGGACGTTGTACGATCGCCTTGTATTTTCCGTCCGTGAAGAATACACAACATTTATCACGAAAGCATGTTTTCCGCAATTAATTCACTCTTCTCCCGTTGACTTTGGGTCGGCAACGAAGCGGGGAGGGGATCCACCAAGGCCATTGGTGGTTCCAGGTTGGACCAGGCTACTCTTTACGACTGTGCTCCGCTGCTATGAAGAGGCAGGCGTGTTTCACGCCTCGCCTGTTCGCCGCCCGGGAAATTCTGCGGCACTCTGGCGGGAAATTCATACCCGACTGATTCAGCAGTTTCCACATGTATTTCACGCTGCAAACACCGTCACGACTTTACTTTCCTTTGCGGCGCTTGAAGAGGCTGCAGTTTCGTCTCTGGGAACGTGTCGAATGTCTTTTTCGGGAAAGGAGGAGGCGTTGTGTCGTTGGCGTCTTGAGTGTTTGTCTGAGCGAGAGGAAGGGAATGGTGGTGGCGGTACCTTTCATGAGTTCACGCAGTCTCAGGCCTTAAGTGATGCCCCTCGCACTTCCAGACGTTTGCGGGCCCGCGTTCTCACCGCACACAGCACCCTTTCAAAGAAGACTATGAAAGAAGAATCCGTCGACAAGGACTCCATTACTAATGATGCGGAGATTTGTACTCAGCAGCTGCATTGGAAACACCGAGAGTTATTTGGTCATGCTTTAAGCGTTTCAACCTCACAACTCAGCATTCCCGTGTTTCTGAAGTCACAAGAAGTCATCAACTACGCAGAGGATGCCATGGATGAGCTGGAAGCCGCCCGACATAATGTTGTTGAGATTTTCCGTGAGCATGCGTCGTTGCCCATGTTGCGTCCCGCGTCTCCTACTGACGTTTCGAATCCACAAGAGCGTAGAAGTTGCGGCGATATTCTTGCGGAAGCCTCGCAACCGTCTATGTTTCTTTTCTTGCGTCTTGTCTCGCTTCTGTCATTGATGGGGGAACCTCCGGTGGTCACTACGGAAGCAGGAGAGAATGAGGGTGGGATCCGATCTTTTTCACTTGTTGAATGCATCGAAGAGGATATTCTTCCTTACTGCCATCCAAGTGTGGCGGCCTTCTTGCGTCGGTGTTGCGCCACCTATCTTTCCCGTAGTGGGGTGCGAGGTATTCGGGCGCTCGTGGGGGAGCATCAGACGTTACTGGAACAACTAACGGAGGAAGCTGCAGTAGGGCGCCTTCTTGTTGGTGTGCTTTGGGGTGGTGAAACTGACAAAAAGAATAGTTGCTCCTCAAAACGCTACTCTTTCGGGAGCGGTTCGTTAGCATGGCAGGTCATTTCTCAACATCGTCAGGTCATATTTTGTAAGGACGGTCGTTTACTGCTGGAAATGATTCTTTCTCATTTGGGGACTCTTTCCCTCGCCATTCCGGATGATTACAGGCAACTCGTATTTCTGTCACCGTATGTGCACCGTGTCATTGCTGACCCAACGGATACTGCAAGTAATGCGCTGTCAGCCCTCCGTAGCGAGTTGGACTGGAATCCGGCTCCGGCAAGACATCTTTACATCTCACTGTTGGAATTGCTCTCATGGGTGGTAGAAGCTAAGAGGAAGGAGTCAGAGGAGGGGAAACCGAAAGGCATAAAGAAAGAACAAAGTATCGATGAAGCTGAAGATGTGAGCACTTTGAATGATGACAGTGGGGCAAATCTGCCAACCTTATCCGATACGGCACGTCACTGGCACGTCGTTCAAAGTTTTTTTCGCAGGCGGTCATTAAATTTTAAATTGTTTTCCCCCTTTCTTTTGGAACGCGTTTGTTTGATCGTTGTGCACAGCTGTCCGGACGTGGAGTTAATAGTCACTTGTTTGCTGGCTTTGTGTCAGCAACAACGCGGAGGGTCTGGGGCTGACGTTTCCGCGCATATGGACGGAGAGTCTTCCTCGTTTTTTACCCCTCGACTACTCACTAGTCTCTGTTGTCTATTAGTAATGAATGGGTTGACTGGAAACTCCGTTCGGCAGTGGCGGCATAAAAATGGTGCACCGTCTTCTGCCGTGTCTCCAACGTGTGGTGATGCTGTTGGTAAAAGCAGACTTCGTGAGTGGCATCTGTCATGTTTTGAGCGCATTTTGCCGTCAATGGGTCATATCTTGAAGGAGAACAGGGAAGGAGCCGAGGGGTTCTCTGCAGCCTTTTGCGGTGATGGGGACGGCCTGGCGGTTGGAAAGAACGAGACGGCGCACTTGTTGGGCAGCATCGTGCTTGACGTGTTGCTCACTGATGCCCATTGGCTATCACTGAAGAAAGATAATTACTACGTGTTTCTTTTTGTTTCAGCGGCGGAATTGGTAGCTACAAAGGGCGCAGATGAAGCTGCCGTGCACTGCAAGAAATCCTCCTTTCCGTTGGGGGTTGTGTTGCCATCACGGCAGCTGTCATCGTCTTACCCGAGTGGTGTTCGTCAGCGTGTGACGAAACTCAGGGATGCACTTCGAGAAATGGGAGCGGAGAGGCGAATACAAATTCGTCGTTCCGTGTCACCGGTGATACGGCGAGAGAAGGGTGTACTGGAGGCGTACAGTCTGGGAAACGATGACGGTGAGGATGAGGACGATGTGGTAAACTTTTTCCTCCATTCCGTAGCTGGTGGGGATGGAGTAGCAACGCAGTGCTCGTCCACGCGGTCTGACACGAAGGCGGAAGGCGGATGAATTGTGTCCCTACGTGTGTCTATATTTGTGCCTCTTTGATGACTTCTCCGTTTCGAGGGTCCTTTTCTTTTTCCTCTATTTTCTTTTCTTCACGTCCACCCATCTGTAAATAATGCGGGGCGTTTTCTTTTTGTTTTGTTCGATACTGTGGGTAACGTGTCTCTCCTGTTCTTTGGTTGTTTCTCCCACTCTGTGTTTGGTTTGTTTTTCTTGGCCAGGACGGGCGGACAAAAAAACATGCGGCCCAGCCGCCTTTGGCTGTTACAATGGGGACATGCTGCCGTCGCGGGCACCGTCATACCACCAAAACGAAAACGGCAGTTTGTCATGAAGGAGGGGCAAAACTCTCACCACGGCAGCGATGTCAACAGGCACTCCCAAAAACACGTCTCCTCCGCGTCGTTTCGTCCTCCAATTAACCTTACACACGAGTTATCGCAGCGCGAGCAGTACCGCCTGCATCAAGAACAAGAGGGGGCAGAAATGTGTCGCCGCAGCGTACCGGGGGAGTGGCTTTCACCAATCCCAAAGCGTTACCGATTGTATGACGGCATCGACGAACACGGCTACGAGGCGGCACGGGTGTCTAAAGAGGACCGGCGAAAAATGCTTCAGGCAGCACTGGAACGAAACGCTGCGTCCGTGGTGGAATATACAGAAGGTGGTGAAGAAAACATCGACTTGGGAGGGATGTCTGCAGGCGAGTACCATGGACAAACGGATTCGATGACGATTCCAAGAGATTCTGCCCTGTACAACGCTGTGTTGGCCCGGGAAGAGCTTGACTCACGGAAGCGAAACAACACGTGGACGATGGCGCGAAAGCGACAACAAAGCGGGGGGATAGATATCATGGGGAAGGGAGAGGACAAATTGATGAGTGGGGGTGATGGAACTCAAGTGATTGACGACAAACGAAGGCGGCGTAGGCAGGACGAAGGCTCTTATACCAGTGTATTCGATGAAAATCTGCTAGAACCCAACTATGAGAGCATTGGTCAGCCCCGCTCGACCTACGGGATGCGAAAAATGCTTGTCGCCGGCCTTACCAGCTATCAAGCTGTCATAACACGGGAAGAGGAGGCAATTATTTCGGATGAGTTATTGCAGTTGCTTCAGGATACTCGTGCTGCATACATTGCGGAGGAAACGCGTTATTGTGTCAACCTCTACGAGAAGGAACTGGGGATACCAGGGAAGGACACACTGGCCTTTGCAATGAGTCGTGCCCCCACATTGCAGCGTGTGCTAGGACGCTTTTTTCACCTTGGTCTTATCCCAAGTTTACCCAACATTTGCCAAGTTAGTGAGATGATTGGGAACTTTTCTGGGTATCCAATTCACAAAAAACCAGCGACGATCGGCCCTTATGTTGGCATATTAAATCTCGTTTCCACAACGCTCATGTATCTTCAGCACTTGGACAACCCATGGTTCCCTCGACTGCACATGAGCCCACGAAGCCTCTCTGTGATTGAGCAGCCCTGCCTGGGTGATTACAAGATGGGATACAAGTGGACTCACCAGCCTTTCCACACCTTTGAGTACGGTACACGCATCTCAAAGGATTACCGTATCGAAGTGATGTTCGCTACCGTGGAGGTCGCGCAGATGCGGTACCTTGATGATGCCGTTCGACTGACGGAGTACGCGGTGAAGAAGCAACAGGAGGAAGGCGCTGCAGACAAACGAAGGCTGTTACCACCATTACCATCACCTGACACGCTGAGTGAGGGAGCAAACGAGTTCCGCGGGTCCACGGTCAAGTGGCTTGATCGACTTAATCGTCAGATGCACGCCTCGGAGAGGGGTGCGAGGTCGGGTGAGGCGGGTACCGCGATCGATGGAAATGCCCTTCGGGAGCAGTTGCTGGCATCGGGCTGCATCGGCGCGAAGTCACGAACACTTGAGACGTCCGTACAAGCCGCAGTCAGCACGGACGATGCGAATGAAAAGGGAAAGGAAAAATTCAGCCCTACGCAACGTCGCATGGCAGCGTTGAAGGCGCGTTACGAGTTTGCCAAACGACTAAAGGAGTCCAAGCCACAGGTGGGTTTGGGAGGTGGCGTACATGTGATTGAAGGACATTCGCCACGGAAACGTGATTCCTCTTAACACATATTGCCGTCTTTGCATTATTTGGGCACTGGCCGTGTCGTTGCGTTCTCTAACCCCTCCATGGAAGTGAAACAAATTATTCTGATTATTGTCGGCTGTTCCAATCATTGGTCCATTCTAGGTTGTTATATATATATATATATTTATTTATTTATCTTTGGTGGGAAGAAGGTGACTGTTTTTGACGGTGACTGTGGCTTATGTGTGGGCTTTTTGTTTCTTTGCGTGTTATTCCTTATTAAATTCCCTTCCAACTCCCTTTTTACTTGCGACTCCTCTGCAAATCACTCAGAGAGGAATGAGGAGTGGGGTGTAAAAGGAAGAAGCTCATACACAGAGATAGTGAGTGAGTGGGTGAGTGAAAGAGAAAAGAAGGGCGCCGAAGGTATTGTATTCAAGGCGTGTTATTTGTGTTGAACGGGTTGAGATGCGGGTCTCGAGGGTTTATGCCATGTGCGGCGCTTCGAGTATCTGTCGTCGGCCGTCTTGGACGCAACCGGGACAGGAAATACCCCCAAGCGTGGCCAATGCGCTCAGACAGAGTGAGAGAGACACTGTTGGTGTGGAGCTTCACCTCCCATCGTTTGCTTCGGTGGCCTTTGCAGGACGCGACGAGATGCGGCACCACGTGCGGCGGACGGTGGAAGCGGTAGACTCTGTGATTCATGCCTGTGCAGATGCGGCACTCCCGTTGGACTACATCACCTTGCGGTGTTGCGCACCATTTTCAGTTGGAGAATCGTGGACCGAGGAAGACTGGCACCTGGCGCTTTCTTTTTTGCGCGAAGTGGCGATGCATCTGCTTCCGACGTTTCCAGTTTCTTTGCTTTTTCCCATTACGGCGTCTAACACGCTACCCGCGCCGTGCATCAGCAAAATGTTCGACATGCTTCATCGCGTAGGCTGGAAAAATTTTTTGGTGGGGTTGCCAGCTTCCACCAGCAGCGCCATGGTGGGTGCGACGGCAGAGGGGGATCAGCCCCCCATGCATCCCGCGGTGAGGGGCTGGATTTCGTTGCTGCACGGAACAGGTGAACATCCTCGCTTTTCGAGGTCTCAGCCCATTCCATGGACGGGGCTATTTCCATGGATTTTGCAGGAAGGATTTTTTGACCGCTTTTCGGTTGGGCTTTCCGTGGACCTGTACACCTCGTTGCAATCACTGTCTTTCCTAAGAGAGGCTGGTGATGAGAGCGGAGGTGAAAACCGCGTCAGTTCCTCACCGAAGCAAGCCAGGAGGGAAGCTGGGTCGAGTTCCACGCAGGAACAGCTCTTAAAACTTCGACAAACCACAAGAAAAGAAAAGGATTTGTTATGGAATCAGCAAGAGAAGGAGCAGCAGCAGCAGCAGTTGAGGACGCAAAGTTTTCAAGGGAGTAAAGGGCCGGAGCTCATAACTCTTTCGGCACCCCCAAGGGAATTTTCGGACATGTTTTTGTCCCAGCACCAGTCTTTCCTGGATGCGGAGAACAGCGATGTTGGGCAAGAGATATTGATGATGGCCCAGTTTCTTCAGCAGGTATCCGAGGAACATGCACCCAAGCAGGAAGATCGGCTGCAGAAAAAAAGTACAGCCTCAGTAGAATATGAAGTAGGCGTTGTAAATGAGAAGAAGGGCACGAGCGATGCTGCAGCGGGGCGGCAACTGGGGAACTGCACGTTGTATTGGCAGTTGTTGGAGGAAATTGCACAGCGAACGCGTGCCCAGTACCTGTGCACAACACCGTGTGTCAATCCTGCTTCCCTACTGGCGTGGAAACAAGCTTGCGTGGAAAAATTTGGCTGTAAAAATAATGGCATGAATAATCAAGGCGATAATTCTTTTTTGACTTTCCTACCAGTTGTGCATACACTGTGGCCCCTTCTTCATCCCGTGCAGGTTGAAAGAGTACGTCGGCAGACTATTTTCTCGGCAGCCATTATGGACGACAAGTTTTTAACGGACGCGCTTGAATTTATACCAAAGGAAACTCAGCAGGCGCTCCAACAGGCGTTGCGCGACATTCCCCCTTTGTATTTGCAGCGGGCGTTGAATGGTGCAGTGGAACCGCGAAGAGAAACGCAGATTCACCACGAGGCGGGCGGTGTGCGTTTGTCATGTGGGAACGGCGGCCGTTCCAATGTCTCTGAAATTTTTGGTGCAGGCACGGCAACGCATCAGGCTCTTTTCTCTGATATGCCCGCAGGTGTATTGCATCATATCTGTGATGTGGAGAAGACATTTCGTCAGGGTCCTATGAAGAAGATCATCGAGAACTCGATTGAGACTATTCGCTCAGGTGGTGTACATGCAAGTAAATGTCATTTTCTTATTTCTGTTCCTTGTGACATGGAGCTTCCGGTGCTGTCTGAGTCTCTCCGACTCCTTTGCCCGTGAGTACATGAATTAGAAAAAGTAAACGGATAAGAGGAAAAAATACGCGAAATGGGGGTGGTGATACCGCTTTTGTCAGACTTTTCTTTGGCTTCCAGACTGCCGCTTTCGACTAAAATAATTTTTATGTCAGTAAGTAAAGTTTGCTGGAAGTCCATGTGTGATTGTGTGCGGAAGAGCTTCTACTTTGCGTTTCTCGTCTCTTGTCCCTTTGCGAGAGAAGTGACAGAACAGAGAAGGAGTGGTTTTTCTTTGGTTGTTGCTGCTTTTTCTCACTCCCTGGGAGTGCATCGGTGCACACAACAACAACAACAAAAATGTGGCGTCGTGGTCAGTGTCTGCGTGCCCCTCCAAAAGTGCTCTGCTTGACAATGATCCCCGGTGGCGGGGCAATGACGCCGGCGCTGCAGCAGCTTGGGTACACCCCATACACCTTCCAGCACACCTTCACAGAGGGTCGTGTGAATACACATCCACAAGAGTGGTGCATGGTGCTGGATAAACAAAAACCGTTTAACCCCGCCATTCTTGAAGTCAACCATGGAGAAACAAGTGGCGATCGGAAGGGATTTGACGCTCTTGTCGGGCCGCCATGTACCTTGGCTTTTGAAGCAATCTTGAAGGTGTGTCCTCTCAGTACCCGTATCATTCTTGTAGAGGAAACCGACAAAGACGCATGGGCGAGGGATGCAGCGGCCATCTGGGACCCATTGCTACGACAGACAGGACAGGCAGCAAAGCGGCAAGCCGGCGTCCACCTCCACCAGATGGTCTTAAGGATGACGAAGGGTATGACAGGACCGAATCGAAAACTTTTTGCAGCAACTACCTTGGAAATGCTAGAAGAGCGTGTGAAGACTGTGGTGCCAAAAGATAGGCTGCTTGTGTATCGCTACGGAAGTGGCTGGGAACCACTTTGTCACTTTTTATCCAAACCGGTCCCGTATTCAAGTGACGCGGGTGTCATTTCATTTCCCCCATATGAGAGCGGTACTGAGTTAGCAGCAGACTTGAGTTATCGTTTGCAGCGAGTGGAGCGGGTCGTGCTGTGGGTGACCTGCTTCCTCTTTGCTGCGTTGTTTGCTTTGTACACACCGCTCTATACACAACTGCGCGATAGTGTCGTGGCATACTACGATGAATACCGTGAGGCCTTTGAGCCTGTTTTGCGGGAAAACGAGGGAAAGACGCTCTCGTTACGAAAGGCATTGGTACTGGCGAAAAATACCACCATGTCCTTTGAAGAAAAGTGGCGTGCGCGTGGGGGTGTGATTGGGGCAGCGGAGGAGGCATTACGCAAAATTGGCGATAGCGGCCGCGGATAAAAGGAAGGGCTTTGAGGAAGGTTAATGGCTTTTTGTTTATTTATTTATTTTCCTCCCTTTTCGTCCTTTTTATTATTTCATTCTTGTACCCTCCGTGAGTGTGTCTTCTTACTTGTTGGTTGTCCGTTTTTTCCTCCTCTGTGGCTCGGGGTTACGCCGGTCCTTTTTTTCGTTTTTTTTTTTTTTTTATTCCACAGCAGTGGCGTTGAAGGGGGCATCGGGTTCTATCTTTTAGATTCTCCCTCCAGCCATCGGCGGTTGTCAGCGCCATCCGCACTAACGAGGCAAGAGGCGGAGAGTGCAGGGAAGACGGAATTATTGTTTCATATAGAAAGCAAAAAAGGAGGGGGAAATACTTTCTTTTTTTGGGGGGTGGAGAGCAGTAGACGGGGCGGGTGACGAAGAAGAGGGACGGCGCCACGATGTTTTCTGTTGTGGGGACCGCCAAAAGTGGCGGCGACGGCGCAAATATCAAAAATAACAACGACAATCCATTCGAGCGCCTGCAGCCGCCGTTGCGTAGCGAGGAGGACGAAATCCGAAAAGGCATTTTTGGTCAGGCGCTGCGGCTGCTGCACACCGCCACAGATGAGGATAAGTTACGCTGGCGACTTGCCATCGAGGAGGCCATTGCCGCACGACAGTCCATATCGCGTATGAATAAAAAGACGGCCGTGTCGGAGGGGGTCGCTGATGTGACTCCGCTCGTCGGATTTGCCGCAGTGAAACGTCCCCGTGACGATGGCAAAGGGGAGGAAGAAGAAAAGGAAACAGGGACGGAGGAGAATGGGGGAGGCGGGGATGGAGATCAACGCCCAGTTGTTGCGGCCGCCAAGGATAGTTTTGGCTTTCGCACCGGTGCCGAAGATACACCGATGAAAGACACAGAATTTATTGCAGCATATCTTCGCACGTTGCTTGATAAAGTTGTGGGTTTAAGTCTTCTTGAGCTCCATGTTGACGCTCTACGGGTCTTGTGTATCATTTTGAGTATTCCGCTTCCCAAGAGCCGCAGCAAAATGACGCTCTACAGCACTCTTGCCAGCTTTCACTACACGCATTGTGAGAAACTTGGCAAACGTGTCTCGAGCTCCCACAATGTGCAGGCACAGCTGAAGCGCGACGAACAGATGATTCAAAAATTGTTTCCAGCGGGTTCCACATCCCAGACAAATTCAGGTATGGGAAGAAACAGAGCAGCAGGGGCAACAACAACAACAACTGCATCGCGACCATCAGGCATCACCAAAACTGTTAATTCTACCACTCTCAGCAAACACAGCAACAGCAGTTGTACCGATAAAAGTGCTAGTAATGGCAGTGCCAACCACAAGAAGGGCACTCGGTCCATGCTAACTGCTGTGGACAGCAATGTTTCCCCTCTAGATGACACTCCACGGAGTCGCAGAAGGAAGCTTGTTTCCGATACCGGGGCGAAACCACAAACCAAATCTCCCTTGGAGAGGGATGCGAAGGACACACCAGCGGGGGTGGAGGGAGAGTCAGAGTTGGAGGTACGGCACACGGGCAAAGTCTTTGCAGACGCCCCTGTCTTCCGCCAGGCGATGGCGGTATCACGGAATAATGAGGAAGAGGAAGAAGAGGAGGAATGGACAATGGCGCAACTGGAGAAAAAAGTGGCGTCGGTGGTTCAGTTATATGACCCTGTGACGTCTGCGGTGGTGGTGAAAAAATTAGCTCAGATGGGATATCGCAAAGCATGCGCCATGGAGAAAGTAGAGGCAATCCTACGCAGTTTCCATCAGCGTGAACTTGTTTTCTACGACAACGGCATTGCGTATCTCCTTTAGATATTTTTTACTTTATTATGCAAAGTGTTATTGTGTGTGCGTCTTTCCTAAGATTGCCGTGTGGAGACTTACGTTATAAAATGTTGTGAGATGAACAGATGCAAGCATAGACTTATTCCTACATGCATTTGCCCTTTCCCTCATCTCATCCCTTTATATAATGTTATCTTTTATTTTTTGTTGTCGTTCTTGTTCTTCTTGCAATTATTCTTGGGAAGAGTGAGTGGGACAGAAGAAAAATAAAACGACAAGAGATATGTTAAGAAACAGATGATCACGAGAGCAAAAAAAAAAAAAAAAGAGTGAAGGTCTTAATCTTTAAGGTTTTGTCTTGTGTTGATTTTGTGTCGCTGAGTCGTTGCCACTGATGCACCAATACCACGCACGGTGTTTACTGGCGTAGAGTTGGATACATATATATATATATACAGAGAGAGAAAAGGAAGGGGAGAAGAAATGGAAGAATGGGGGTGGAGGCGGCAAATGCGGTGTGGTGATTGGGTTTAAGGGGAGAAAAGAGCATATGCACATGTGTGTGTGTGCGTATGTGGAATCATTGCCATAGAACACATCTTTTTTTAATTATTTTTGACGGTTTATATTTTATTTTTTTCATGGACAGAAATGTGATCCGTCTTGTGGTTTTGTGTTGGACTTGTTTTTTGTATTCTTTTTGTTTGTTTGTGCGATCGTGTATGATGTGTGGAGCCTTTTTTCCTTTTTTTTTTTTTTTTTTTGGGTGGGTGGGGCGGGCACTTCCATTTCTTGCCAATAGGTCACTGTTAAGTAGGGGAAGTTGGCAGTGTGTGTTCGTTCTTTTTTTTGTGCACGTTGTACGCCACTGCTAGACATTGACACTAGTAATTCTGTTTACTTGATGTTCTCAACCCTCCCCAATTTGGATGACGGGGTGCTGGCGCTGTTGATTGCTGTATGCACACTGGTGTCTTACTTGGTCTCCTTGTACTGGTGGCAACTGGTTCCACGCCTGTTTTACCCAGAGGAGAGGAAACTTGAGGAAAAAATAGCGCTGCTGCGGGCAGAGGCGGAGCGATGCAACACCACCGATCAATTGCATCTTCACGGCAAGCTTACCCGTCAGGTTCAGTTACTCATAAAAGAACTGGCGCAGACACGGAATCAGCGTTTTTCTCTCTGTTGCCCTCAAAACAGAAATAAGACGGGGAATGATAAGCGTCGTTGGTTATTCTTTGGTACTTTTTTGGCCCGTTTAAAGTACTTCCTACCCACATTCATAGACCTGCTCATATCATTTGGGTTCATAATCCCGTTCCTGTGCCTGTTCGGCAATCGTCCAGCTGTTGTAGCATTTCCACACTGTTTTCGTCATTGTCTACCTTCGCTTATGAACTGGATAGAGGCGGTGGTGATGTCGGTGTTACTCGGCCCACTTCTGTGGAGCTCGAAGAGCCACGGCTGTGTCAATGGTAGTACGTGGGAAGGGAACCGCCGTAATTTGCTGCCTGCACGTGGGTGCAACAGTGACGTTAGTGGCTTTGCATTTTCTGACACCGCAGGTACGGATGTCCCGCTGAAAACCGCGGATGGCAGGGATGATGGAGAAATCAAGAGCCTCGGGCTTCTCTCCTGGTTTTTAGTCTGCTACTTCGCCGTCCGCTTCTCACGCCGTGTGCTTTTGCGGAGATAAACGCGATTGAAGGGACGAGCAAAACACGACCAACGAACGGGAAAAAAGTATTAGGACGATATATAAGCTCGTTGTTGTTGTTGTGGCGGTGGTGGTGGTAGTTTACGGGGCGGGGGAAAAATTGCGTGTGGATTGGATGTCGTTTTTTTTTTTTTTTTTTTTTTGAACGGTGCTTCTGCTTTTCTTTGCCCCTTTTACAATTTGATGGCGACGGGAAGAAAAGCCCGGGGGGCGCAGCCAACATGGAGAAGAAAACTACAAAAAAGAAAAAGAAAAGGAAAAGACAAGAAAACACGTACGCGCACGAATAAAACAAAAACAACGTATATAAATATAAATATACTTTTTTAGGCCTTTTTTCCTTATTGTTTTACTTGCGCTGTTGAAGATGTCCGTCTTGCCTCATGCGTTAAAGACGCCAGCGTTTCGTTGTTCACCTTGTATGAGTGGGGCCCGGTGTGCAGGTTATCTCTAGTCCTTCCCTAACCCTTATTGGCTTTGTTTGCGGTCTGTTTGTGTTGTTTTGCCCGTTTTTTTTTTTCTTTTGGAGGGTGCTGGTGGTGGTGGGGAGGGGAGGGGCATTTTTGTTGTTGTTGTTGTTATTACATGAGCTTGTCACTATTTTTTTCTTTTTCTTTTTTTTCTTTTTTTTTTTTTCTCTTTTCTTTTAAATGGCCCTTCCCACCGCTGCTATTCTTGAGTTCATTGTTACTATTGCCCCAAATTGTACCTGTAGATATGTGGGAGCATCGCTTACTATATCCCCTGCTTTTGATAGATATGTATGATAAGTATGCGTCTTGTTTTTGGTCATGCGTGGGAAGAGGTGCTTTTGATTGCCTGGTTTAGTTTGCGTTCTTACTTTTATTTTTTACCTTTTTTTTTTTTTTTTGCTTGTTTGTTTGATTAACCGTTCTTCTTGTGCAAAATGTTTCTTTTTTTTTTTTTGTTTGTGTGTGTGTGTGTGTGTTTATTAGTCTGTCTTATCGTTGAAACGGCAATAAGAGCGAACGCAGCGGTGAAAGAAGTGTGTTTGAAAGAAAAGTGTGAGTTTCCCTTTTTGTTGTTTGTTTTAAAGAAGTATGCGACGGAGAAACGTGGGTTGTGAAGGAAGGAGGGAGGGAAGTCATCCATGCGTGTGGGGTCAAAAGGAGATAACGCCCGAAGAAGAAGGAGATAAACAAAGGAGGAGACGGGGGGTGGGGGAAGGTGTAATCCACACGATGGGTAGTACACCGAGACAACATCTGCGTATTTATCCGTATGCAGGAGTGCGTGTGCCCAGACACGCCTAGCTGGAGGGAGGGGAGATTAGCGGAGGGAGGGGAGAACAAAAAAATTGGACGTGGGGAAGGAGGGCAAAGTAATGATGATGTTGATTACTGGGATAACGAGTGGGGTGAGGAGGCAAAAAGAAAAAAAGTAATAAATGAAGGAAAAGTGGCTAAAGAAGGCGTTTTTTTTTTTTTTTTGTCTCTGTCTGTGTAGAGTTTTTCCTCAGTAAAAAAGAGGGAAAAAAAGGAGTAAATCCCACTCCGTTCCACGCATTCACACACACACGCATGAAGCCGCACAAAAACGGCGGGGCGATCCGCTGCAGGGGGAAGGGGAAAATAAAATGGGCAGGTGAATGCTGCGTGGGCGGGGGGAGGAGGTGTCGCTCCCACCACCGACGATAGATAAGAGTCGGCCCACTCTCATTCACCGTTTGCCTTCTTTTTTTTTTTTTACTTTTCTTTTTTTGTTGTTGTTGTTGTGCCGCAGCGTCTTTGAAGAAGTTCGGAATGAAAAAATGAAGAGACCACCGGTAGGAGTTTGTTTTTGTTGTTGTGTGGAATTGAATTGTTGTGTTTCCATGCATCTTTTAATTTTATGTTTCCACCTTTCCTTTTTTTTTTCTTTCCTTCTCTCTCTCTCTCTCTCTCTCTGTGTGTGTGTGTGTGTACGAATGGGGTTTTGTGTGGCGCTGGTGGCTGTTTCTAATTTATTATTATTGTTTTCTTCTTTCCCCCCCCCCCCCTTACATGCGCACATATTTGATTTTTGCCGCACCTTTCGCAACGCGAGGGATAAAAATTAGGCGGAAGGCAGGAGGAAACGACATTCAAAGGAGGCGGGAGAGAGGAGGGAAAAGGAATAATAAAAATAAATAAATAAATATCTTTTTGTTGTTGTTGTTTAAGGACGGTATCATGCAACCGCCGACCCCTCCAATGACGCCATTTGAGCAGGACGTCACAAGAGCGTTTCAGCTGTTGGGCTCCGTTCGCGTTCAGTCGGCCATGTTACACCGCAGCACGACTTTCTGTGTGGATCGCTGTCTCGACACGGAGGAGCTGTACACGCTGCTGCGCACCACGCAGGCCCCAATTCGATATCGACTGAACGCAGACCTCGCAGAGAAAAAGTGCGTCACGAGCTGCAGCGCCAAGTGGGATGAGCTGTACCGCATGACAAACATGCGTGTGAACGAGGATGAGACGCGGAGGGTGCAGTTGAATGCCATGTCGTCCATGATGGAGGCCATGCGACAGTGAAGAGGGGAAAGGCTTCTCTGTTGCTTAACACGTTACGCTCCACCGATGAACGGTTCCAGTGGGAAGGAGGGGAATGTGTGTGTGTGTGTGTTTTATCTGTGCGTCTTGCCTTCCATTCCTTTTATGGGAACGCTGACGTTGCCTCCATTCACCTCCTCCAATTGGTTTTTGGTGCTTCATTCTTCCTTCTCACTGTGTCTGTTCAATTTAGTGCAATATAACTTCTTTACAGATCTTTCTACCTTTTTCCATCTCTCTCTCTCTCTCTCTGTGTGTGTGTGTGTAGTTCTTTTTTCATTTGTTATTTTCTCCTTTTTACCTCCCTCCTATTGGACTACGCGGCTCCCTGTGTTCCCCATTGAATTACGAGAGGCTCCCTTTTTTTTTTTTTTTTTGTAGTTTTGCATTTTGTTTTGTCTTTCTTGCAAGCCATCGGAGGGGGAAAAAAAAGATACCTGCCGTGCGTCACACGAAATAGTTGTCCATAAGCGGCAGTTTTTTTTTTCCTGCACAAAATGTCCCCGCCAAGTAGCTGCAATGCGTTGCCCTACTCCACAGAAACCAGACTGAACTGCATTATTTGCACGGCGGCGGCGGTATCCTCTTTATTAGCTGGTGTAGTTTTTTCTGTGAATTACTTTGGCTTCTTTTATTCTAGCGCGCTTCGAAGTGTGTTCAATGACGTGTTTGCCGTGGTAGTCATAGTGCAGATGCTTCAGGCGCTGCAACTCTTCATTTTCGCCTTCATCACAGTCTTGAGGGGGGAAGGCATTCTGGAGTTGGGCAACTGTTCCCAATCGGGCATGACGTACGCCATGTGCAACATCAACGCATCACTCTTTCAGTATCTGGATGCGATGGGGCAGTTGCTGCAGACAATCTTTTTTTTTGTCCTTGCTAACAGTCGTCGCCTTACCTCACTGGAACAACTCGACAACAGTGATGACGAACGGATTGTCCGTACGGGGGAAATTGCAAACGATAGAAATGCCCACACGTCGTGGGAACACGGGTATAGTAGTAGCGCAGGGAGCTCCACGTCAGCCTTGACGCAACACTCGCACAACGTCAGTGATGATCGTCAGAAACGGCGACGTCGGTCTTCTAATCAAAGGGGAGAGGGCAGTTGCGGAATTTTTTTTCTGTTTTGTTCCTGTTGGGGGTATATTTTACCCTGTTGTGATGACCGCCTCTCTAATAACGACAGAACTACTGCTACCACGAGTGGTGCAGTTGCTGCAAATGGTAATGGACCACCTCGGTCCTTTTCCAGGTTTCAGTCGCCATTGTTGCCACGCGACGATGTTGAAAATGAGGAAACGATAACAAGGGCTGAGCGCCATACTTTACTACGGGTCACATGGAAAGCTTACCTTGCTGCCTTCTTGTTTGCTTCGATTTCCCTGTTGTTGTGTTGGATATTGCTTGTATATGTGCCAGACATTGTGTTGTTGCCACGTGATAACGATGGGAGCCTTGAAAAGTCACGAACAATAGAGAACACAGTTTTCTTCTCAGAGGAATTTGCATGGTGTTGGATTCCTGGTAGCAGTGACCTTTCTCCCTCCTCATCGTCGTTGCAAAGAAAGATTTTATTGCTGGTACAACTGGCTGTAGGATACGCCTGGCTGTTGCTTTTCATTTTTAGTGCATTTTATTCATACACGGTTTTGCGGCGTTCTTCTCCATCCTTGCTGCGCGATAACCCGATTGTAATATGCCGCATTGTTATTTTCTGCGCCTATCCGACTCTAGTATGTATTATTAGTGCCTTGGAGCGCTTTGTTGTTACTTCTTCATCTTCTCATGCTGCTTCCGTCGCACGTGTTTATCTATCGGCCACAGTGTCTTTCATGTATCCATTTTCTGCCGCGGTAAACGTTTTACTTTTTTTGTACACGGAGGAAGTGATGGGTTGGATGGCTGCCGCGTTTTGTAAGCGTTGCTGCCGCTGCATCTACGGGGTTCAGCATTTAGGTGGTCAGAGGCCGCGCATTGACTTTGGAAGTAGCAGCGATTTCCGCGATCAAATCTTCCCTGAGAGGGTTGAAGGCAACAGCGTGATAACAACGGGATTCTGTGCTGTAGTAAAGGCCATTGCATGTTCTACCGTTACTGGGCTTCCTCCTGGAGGAGCGCCGTACACGTCCACTTCCTCAAATGATGTTTTTACTCAAGGAAACCGCACTTCTATACGTGTTCCCACAGCCGGTAGTGAATCTCTACCCGAGCATAGGGTGACACATGCAGTGCATCGTAATGCGGGCGCTTCCATGTATGTTCCTCCATCCAACGAGCCTGCCGGTGGTTCGGTCTGACTGTGAATGAGAATAAAAAGGGGAAATTTAGATGAATGTGTGGGGGTTGTGGGGGAATGTAGAACCAAGTAGAAGTGACGTATAGTTACATACAAATTCATCTGCTAGTGCCTCTGCAATGACAAGGGATACCTCATTATCGAGTAAAGTTTTCCCCCCCCCCCCCCCCCCCTTCCCAGTAGGTAGGCACACCTTTGCTTACACGCACACACGCAAAAGGGACAAATAGAGTGAGCGGGCGAGAGAAGAGAGAAAGAGAGATAATCCCCTATCAGGTTGCTTTTTTCTTTGGAAACCGCTTCTATTTTACGAGTTTGTTACTTGGTTCACTTTTTTGTGTGTTGATTTAGAATAAATCTTTATACATACATATGATACAAATGTGATACCTTTTTTGGAATTGCTGCCGGGATTTGTGTTTGTTTGATTTTTTTTTTGTGTGTGTGTGTGTGTTTGTATTGTTGCGCTCATGCCCTTTTTGGTTGGAGATATGTTTATTGTTTTTGTTGGTGGTTAACTTTTATGCCCGTTATGATGCCTTTGCCGTTTGGATCGAATCGTTATGGTGCACCTGCTCTTTCTTTTGGTCTCCATTCACTTGCCGCCCCTGCGTGTATGCACGCGAAGAAGGTCGTTAACAATGTTCCTGGCGGTGTTTCAGGAGTTTGCCCACCCAGAGGTGTTGGCGCAGGTAGAAGAGGGAAAAATATGCCGTGTCGACAGGGCCACAGAGCCGTGCACACTGGCGAAGTCAGAGGAGGAGCTCGCGGTAGTGAGCCGCAACGCCAAGTTATTTATTGATGACGAAACAACAAGTGAGGAAGCGGTCGAGGCGACGCTTGAAGCCCTCTGCAAGCTCGGCTTCACAGTCACACATCGCCATCCCGTGACTTCGGCGGGGTGTCCAATGCGGGATCGTGTCATTCTGTCGTACACCGCGTGATGATGTGACAGGGCCGACATGACCCTGTGCGCAGCCCCCTCGAAAAAAAGAGGAAAACGGAGTGGCAAAAAAGTAAAATAAAAGGTGAAAAAAAATAACAATAAAAGAAAACAAACAATGAAAAGATGACGGAAGGTAAATAAGTCGAAATGATTTTTTTTTTTTAATTATTGGCGTTTCTTCTTATTTATTTATTTATTTATTTATTTATTTATTTATTCTTACCTGTCGTGTGTGTGTGTGTGTGTGTGTGTTTGTGTTGCGGTGAAGTGGGGTGCTGTCCGTGCGGCTCAGCGGGACGGGTCGTGCTCGTCTCTCTCCCTCTCTCTTTCTCTTTCTCCGCGTGTGTCTATGCACGTACACGCCTCTTATTCCACTCTTTTCCCTTATTTACCGTTGTTTTTGCCTTCTTTTCCCAGGAGGACTGTCAAAGGGACAACACACAAGTGGAACAACAGCGATGGGGCCTCTCTCCAAGAAGCGCATGATCATCCGCGATGGCGTCTTCTACGCTGAGCTGTTTGAGTTCCTCAAGCGCGAACTCGCCGACGACGGCTTTGCTGGTGTGGAGCACCGCGTCACTTCGACCCGCACTGAAATTGTCATCCGTGCCACGAAGACCCGCGAGGTGCTTGGCGAGAAGGGACGTCGCATTCGGGAGCTTACGGCGTGCCTGCAGCAACGGTTTCACTACAAGGAGGGCAAACTGCAGCTGTTCGCCGAGCGCGTCGAGGTGCGTGGCCTCTCCGCCATGGCGCAGGCCGAGTCTCTCCGCTTTAAGCTTCTGAGCAACCTGCAGGTGCGCCGCGCCGCGATGGGGATCATCCGCCACGTGATGGAGTCGGGCGCGAAGGGATGCGAAGTGACGGTGGGTGGGAAGATCAAGGGACAGCGTGCAAAGAGCATGACCTTCCGCGATGGCTACATGATAAAGTCCGGCACGGCCCACAAGAACTTTGTGGACGTCGCAACGCGTCACTGCCACCTGCGTGCCGGTACCCTCGGCGTCAAGGTGAAGATCATGCTTCCAAAGAGCATGCAGAACGAAGAGGAGATTCTCCCTGATGTGATCACCGTCCTTGAGCCCAAGGAGATCACGGCTTAAGAAGGATGCACATGGAACACAGCTGCCCCAGTATTGCATACGTCTTTGCTCCTTTTTTGATAGTTCCATTTTTGTTTTTGTTTTTGTCGTTTTTTTTTTCTTTGAATTTTTTCTAATCTGATGACTTGGTACTTGATCATTGTGTTCATCTTGGAAGAAAATCGCCGGCTCCGTTACTTCTCTGTTGAGGTGGGCAGAACACCATAACATTTTTCTTTTCTTTTTTCTTTTTTTTTCTTTCTGTGGTGTGCGTGTTTCTGCACAGCGTCTTTTTTTTCTTCTTGGAGGCTTCTCCTTCGGCCTGCGTGTTGCCTCTGGGGAGGATCAAAGCAGGCAATAAAGGGACATAATTGGAGGAGGAGGAGGACATTTATTCGACATGAAGAAAATTCCACGGCATCCGCAGCCCCAGCCCATTCGTCTGCCAGCTGCAGAGGAGAGTCTGAAGTCAACCCATCCGTTCCTTGTCGGAAGTAAAGATGAGTCTAAGTTTCTTGGCTGCACAACGCGCGTGACATTCCCTGCTTTGACGCGCCACCAGATGGCGCACGGCAAAAGCTCTATTAGCCCGTTGCCGGAAATTGTTTGCGAACGATTGCCGATTGTCAGTCATGGGGACGTACTGAATGCCAGTGCCGGCGTGCAGAACGACTCATCCTCCGTGGATAGAGCGTCAGATAGATCCCTCACGGATATTTACCTTGGCACGTCATTGCGCACTACGGAAAACGACGAAAATGAGGGACAAGATGCGAAAGAAATGCAGGAATTCCTTTTAAACGCATTCCCTGAGTCGTTGAAACATATCGCCACAGATGAGGCGAGCGCAGAATGCCTCGCTTCAGAAAGCGTGGAGGGGGTAACCGACAGCGGGTACCATCGGCAATTCACGGAATTTGTTCTTCGTGATGTGTATGAGCTGTTGTCGCGAGCTGCAGCTGCCCATGAGGTACGTCTGCGTTACCTAATACGGCAGAATATGATGGATATGGAAGGGACAAACTCTAAATTACCTGAGGCAGCTATGATAGATGAAAGTACACGTAGTCTTTCTGAGTGGAATGATGTGTGGTATCAAGCTCCAAATCCCGCAAGTGGAGTACTTGTGGCAGTTACTGTGCGTCCACCGCGGTTCGCGGCGGGAATGGTGTGGAATGGGAACGATTCTTTCTTACTTGGTGGAACGGCTTTTTTGCAGGAAGGCCGTATTCTACAGATTTGGTTACCATTTGGCAATAAATCCCCTGAGAGCTCCAAAACAATGCCCGTGAATAGTGGGAATCAGATGAGCTACAATAATAGTGTCACAGGAGGTGCCTGGGGCAGCTGTCAGAGGTTTCAGGTTCGCCTGCTTCTTCGAGAGTTTCTGTCAGTTTCCAAGGTGGGAATGGGCTCCATGATGCAAACCTTTTCGCTCATTCCTGAAAATGTATCTGTGAAAGTTACGCGAAATCAGGCCCTGCAGTATGGACTTATCCAAAGTGTCTTGGATCAGTGCGCACCTGGGGCGGTGTCACGTGCCTTCTCACTCCAACTGCTTTTACCAACAAAATTAAGGAATGGGATTATTTTATCTTGCGTGGACGATGCGGCGGGATCCAGCCATGGGCTTAACCAGACGACACCGGGCTCTCAAGTCGACGATGAAGAAGAGCAGAGAAATAAACCTGATGGCAGTCACTCCTCTTCCGTGATTTGGAGCCTCTCCTCAACGTTGACGAAAAAAGGCCCTGTCGAAGCAAAGACGTTTCGACGTCAGCCATTGGGCGATGAGGCCTACCTGGTCTACACGAACCCGAAGCTTTACGCGTTGGTAATGAAACATTCTCCAGCCACTCTTACGGCCAATGCGAACGTTATCCGCGAATACCTTCAGTATAGTCAACGTCTTTTTCTTTACCAATTGATGAAGCGATTGCTCGCTGCCACTCGCACGATACAACGTTTTTTCCGTCACTGTATTGCGAAAAGGGAACGTGCGGTGAACCGAATGTTGCGACTCTGGGGGAAGCTTGAACTGGACAGCAGAGATGAACTGAAAAAGTACACGAATGCTTGTGCCACGACGGATCGTCTTGGTTTTATTGTTGCATCGGTCCTTTGGCAACACGTTATTACAACGAAGGAATACAAGATGGCCATGTTGGAGGAACAATTTTCCTTGCGGCGGGTGGCGTATCGAAAGTGGTGTGCGCAGCGTCTAGAGGAAGACCGAGCGAAGCTTGAAATTACCCGAAAAGGAAGCTTGTCCGTGGGTCTCATGACAGATGTAAAGAAAAATAAGAAGTCAAAAAGAGCTAGTCATGTTGAAGTGGAGAAAATGCCTGCAGTGCGTGGAGGAAGGGTGGTTGATGTTGCTTTGTTGAAGGCAAATAATCAATGGATTTTGAAGTGGGGGGATGTCATACACGCCCGTTTTGGGTGGTACATTGACCCCGAGGAGTTGTTGCAGGAATATCACCGCCGATTGCTGATTTCTCTCCGGAACTCCATTCTTCGAATGGCGGAGGTGCAGGAAGAGTTGAAGAAAAATAGTAAAACAATGGCTTTATCGCCGCTTTGATTCCTGGAATAACGCGGTGGGTGAAAATTTCTGTCAGTGAGGTCAACAATTACTCCTATTTAACCCTCTTTATATGTGTTTAGGCGTCTGGCCGTATGTGTGAGTGTCTCCCCTCTCTCTTTGTGTGTGCGTTCTTGCCTGTGGTTTCTCTTCCAGTTGTCTGAGGTGAAGGAAATGGAGCGTGGCGGGTAAACGGCTTCAACAGCAGTGACCGCTTGCAGAAACAAATAAAAATCATTATGCATGTTCATGTACCAGATGTTTTCTTTATCTTCTAGTTTAATCAACGAGAGGTCTTTTTTTTTCTTTTTTTTGCGGTGGGGCTACCGGTAGATGCAAGAAAAGGGTGTTGATTGCAATGAGGAGTCAGGCTCCCTGTTATCCCCTTCGACGTTGACGGCGTTGCGTCACACGCGTCTCTTGCCGCGCAGTATCCCTCCTTCCTTTGCGCTGCAGAGTCAGTTGATTGGCGCAGAGTTTTGTGCCTCACTCTCTGCAGCGATGTTGGAATTGCTGCAAAATACTCCGAGTGGTCTCTCGCCGCTTGACTCCAACGCCTCCAAAATGTTGACAGATGTGAATTCACCCGTGACAGCCCTTCTTTACGATCTCTCGGCGCATTACGGGTCGCACACGCTCCGCAGAGCGGCAAGCCATCCATTGGGGCCGTGCTACACAAGCCGTCGGAGGCGTTTGTCGAACGGTCAACACGATGGAAGACGACAGTTGTGGTCGTTGCGTGCAGCTCATCGTATGTGGTGCCGCCGCTGCGGGGTGTACCTTTTAGCAGGAGAGACCAAGGCGCTTCTTTCAACGTCGCGAACGAGTTCATTCCAAATTCCTGGCGACGTCGATGATGTGAATTCCTCCGACATGAAGGAGCTCAATGAAAAGCACACGGCGACCAGAGGAACATATGTGTGCCGCCGCTGCATGAACAATGAATGGCTGTCACGGGGGAAGAAAGTCTGCGTGTCCACACCACCAACAAAATCATCACCTTCCTGTGGTCAACTATCAGAGATAACGGACGAAAAGTCACCATCGAAGACACCGCTGCATGCTTCAGACACAACTTTTGGCGTTTCTGTGGAGGCACGACTTGCCACCATTGTGGGCCGCACACGCAGGCGGAAGCGCAATAAACGTGGAAGCGTGGTGAGGACTCCTGCCATGGCGATGAGGAACACATCCACCATTCCAAAGGCGGCTCTTCGTGCGGTTCCTAAAGGCTCCTTGGCACGCGGGAAAAGAAGCCGTTCGGCTGCCTCGAAGGAGCCGGCCCCTCGCAAGAAGGATCGTCTCGCAATGAATATTCGTAGCGCAGAACAAGACGTCAGCGCTGTGGCACCGGTGCGGGGGGAGGCTCGAACGGAGGGGTCTCCTTCGACCTCGAAAGTTGTCTCGTGTGCGGGAAGACCTGAGTTCTCGACAGATGAAAGTGAAGTCAATGCGCAATTTCCCACACTTCCGCGAGGACCACCACCAAAAGGTCGTCGTCACACTTTCAAAAAAAGCGGCAACAGCTCGAGAGGAAATCCTTCTTCTAATTCATTTGCCGACACTCTCTCAAGACTCGGTCTTTAGTGTGTTTTTTTCTTTTTGTTAGATTTTTGGTTGTCGTCTCATTCCGTTTTTCATTTGTCACTTATATGTGTGTCTGTATCAATGTCGTGTAAGCTGAAACACGGAGACGATTTTATTTTATTATTTTATTTTTTTCTTTTTACACATGCACACAAACATATTTTTATTGTCTCCATCTTTAGTGGTCCAGGTAGAAGTGGTGTTATCCTAATGTCGTTGCGTCTTTCAATTCACGCCCACTCTGTGTCACCTGTGAGCATTAATTTCGACGCCTTGGAGGCGTACGTCGCTGGACTTTCAGTGGAGGAGGCACTACAGTATATATTAAATGCAGATGTGACATGGCCCACGGGTGACGATGAAAAGGAATCTCAGAAGCAGCCCGGGAATATATTTTTGGATTCCCCGGTGCCTGTAGGTGTGGAATGTTGGCGAAACCTCCAGATGGAGGCGCCGCAGCCTCTCAGCCTCCCCGATACCTGTAGGTTCTCACTCCCTCAGATGGAAATGACGGCTGATACAGAGAGTGCTAAGCACGGCGACGAAGAGGGAGAGAAGAACGCCAATGAAACAGGGGCCGGGAACCATGGGAATGAACTTGCGGTGGATTCACGTAGTCTAAGCGCTTTTCTTGACCCTTTGAGTTCTACATTTCATCGAGAATTTCAGCAGGCCCTCTCGGACATGGTGAGAGGCGAACGCTCCATTTTGCGTCAGGAGTTGGTGGAACAATTTGTTCTTTTTGACATGTTCCGTGAAAACTACTTGGCAACCCCCTATGCCTTTCTCTCAAGGTACTCGATTCCGATGACATTGAAGGACCGTCGGCGCATGGTGGAGGTGTTCTACGGCGTCGACGAAAAGGTGCTAAAAATGTTTTTTGGTGATCGCATGCACAAACTGGAGCTTGAACAAGAGTCCGAAAGCTGGTTTTTATTTGGAGCACGTGCCATTCGTAGTCAAAATATACAAAAGCTTATAGAGGCAGGCATCAGTGAAGGATCTTTAAAGCGTCAGTGGGAAAATCTCAAAAGGGTATGCAATTTTCTTGTCTCCGCCTATCGTGGTCGTGATGGGATGCTGATTCCATACACCACACCTGTGCTCACCGCTCTTCAGCAGTGTTTTGCCCTGCATGGAACACTTGGGGTCCAGTACGGGACTTTTGTGTTTGGCTTTGAGCATCGACTGAGAGGGCGTTTCTGGACTCCGTTATCGTATGAAGAGTGCACCACCGCCTGCCAGGCATTGTCTTTATGGTGTGATGGGTCGCAGCTGAATATCCGAGAGGACTTCTCTGGCGGATGTGCCCGTATCGCTCGTTTTTTAGACGAATACCGTGTGGTGGCGGAAATGCATCAACTGATATTTGGAGAGGCGATGCGCTCACGGTGGCAAGTGCAGTTTGACGAAGTTCAACGTGCAATCACAATTAACACAGGCGGAGGGACGAGTGGAAATCCTCACGCAACCACTGCGGCTGGGACGACGATGCTGTCGCCCACGACAAATGTTTCACATGCATTGCTGCCACGCAACACAAGCACGGGGAAACTGGATGGCGACGCGCAGTCAGGTTTTTCAGCAGCCTCGTCAGTAACTCCGAGAACACTTAGGCCACAACTCTCCTCCATATCTAGTCGCCCATCAAGCACTCCGTCGCATGCAAACACTGGGCCCTCAGGTATTAATATCAACAGCTCCCCAGTTGTGTCACCCATAGCCGCTGCTGCTTCCGCCACAATAAGCAGCAGCAACGCCAATAATAATGGCAGCACTCAAGCTGGTTCCGCTGGGGGAGGCGCGCAGGCCGCCGCTCCAAACCGCCTTCGTTTTTCTGCCAATGGCGCCTTTACAAGAGCTTTTCTTCAGGAGTTTCCTTCTATCATGAGGTGCTTGTTTCGTATGGCTACAACGATTTCGAAGTCGGGGGAAATAGAGGAAGCTTTGGAGCTTTTTTATGGCCGTGTGTACATGCAACTCTCGAACTTGGGTTACCGTTTGCAAAATACACAGGGTGTAGAAATTAGTACCTTGTCTCAGGAGTTGCCCTCTCCCGAGGTGGAGGGCTTTTCAGAGGTGGCGGAATCGAAATACGCGTGCAACAGTCAAAGAGGTAGCCGTGGCGAAAGAAGGGCCACCACCAACACCACCAACACCACCACCGCGGAGTTTGCAGGGGACGAAGTCGGCTCCACCGGCAACCCGGCAAAGGCGAATCCATCGGAGTGTGAGGAAAAACTGGAAGTGGTGGCGAATGTGCTGAAAAACACCGTGGTCAACACTTCACTTGTGGGTCATGCCATCGCACTTTCATCCCGGCGTCCGTGCACCCATGTTTCTCAACATCAATCGCAGCCAGCGACTCATATTTTTAGTAGTCACTCCTCGGTGGCTGTTGACAGTCTAATTTGTCTTCGTGAGCTGTGTCTGCTTTTAAGCATGATGCCCAACGCATTTAATAGCCTTACTACCCTTACAGAAGAGGATCATGCGGCGTGCGACAACGAGTTTGCCAACTTTGTTTTGGCCCTCAAGGTCCTGGTGCAGATTCATATGGCCTCAGATGACCTATAATTGCATTTGCGGGACCTCTATTTCTTTCTTCTCCAAACTATGTTACTCAGTGCCCTAAAAAAAAAAAACACGTGGACGGCTCTCAACAATTCTTGTTTCCTTTTTGTTGTTGTTAATGAAAACTGGAAAGACAAAGAGTCATCTGGAACTCTCAATTAGTGTGAATGTATAAATGCTTGTAACTTATCCCCTCAAAGGGTTGTATGGAAGAGAAATACATTGTTTCTTCTCTTTTCTTATTTATTTATTTATTTTTTTTCTTCTTTTGTCAGGGGAAATTAGGGCGTGGCGTACTTTGTTTGTGTGTGTGAGAAACAAAGAGAAGACGGTTCGAATAAGACGACGTAAGGAAGATATAAAGGAAGGAATAGAGGAGTGATTTCCCAAGTCATAGTCAAAGATACTGTGCCAGGTGTATATGCGTTTATATTTTAATATTGCAAGTTAATTGATATTAAACTTATGAACACTGGAGCGCAAAATATATTCTTAGACCAAGATGGGCAGGGTGAGGACCGTGGCCCATCCGCGTACGTCAAACGTTTTGGTGGTGAGAGGCCGCGTGAAATGAATGGTTTGTTGCCGGATTCTCTGCCATCACGCAGCAGCTATGTGCAGTCACCAGAAAACACGCTGTGCAGCGGGAACGGGCCGCAACGGTCTTTATTTGGCATGCGGTTTGTTGGAAGTAGGGGAACGCCTGTCTCTAAACAGAATTTTGGTCGCAAAGACAAGCGTCTCCTGCCGCTGATGTGTCCAAAGGATGAGGAAGCGTTCCTTCAAACTCTGCGAAAACCGACATCGAGTGTGGAGTACCCCCAAAGGGATGACGATGGTGATGATGATGACCCCAACGCCACAGAGGCCGTGGATGATGATGCCAGTACGGTGCAGCAGGGAGGCTGGACGCAGCCTCTGGAAGAAAGGTTTTCTCTGGATGAATTACGGCGTCTTATGTGTTTTTTCTCAGTGGATGCGGACTATTTTGAAAACGGCATGTTAGGACCAAAAGCAGACGCTAATCGTCGTCCTTTCAGCAGGAACATCACGGGAAAGACTTTTATGGTGAGGAACTGCTCTTCCTTGAGTAGACTGTCGGGGGGAGGCAAGAAGATGGAGAATACTGGACGGCATTCCCAAGTTGAGGAAAGGGAAAATTTGTGTGAAGAGCGCCCTCAGGAACATTCCTCGGGTGTATTTATTGGACCACCTGGTGGTGCTTATCAGCCGGTGCAAACAGAGGAAGAGCTTCAGCGTGCACTCTTTTCATCTGATGGGCTGAATCAGGGTTCCGGGCACGATGCGTACACACGTGTTTTATCCGAACAGGAGTTTGCACAGGCGATTAAAATTGTTATCCCCAGTGCCACGGATGCGGAAATTATGGATCTTATGAGAAAGGTTGACTACGAAGCGAAGGGGTGCACAACTTGGGATGATTTCTCAACGTTTTTAGTCTCCCAAAGTCGTCACCGCTCCCATCTTGCTAATGGACCGATTTCAGAGTTATCCACAACACCTGAACCGAGCTATTGCTTTTCGCGCTCGCAGCATATAACGGGAACTTGCATGGAGGCGGACACACGGCGTAAACTCCTATTAACCGGTGGGTCCGAAGGCACTGTACGGGCATGGGACCTGGAGACTTTGACAAGCCGTGGAATTGTCTTTGCAGGGGACTGTTGGGTTGTTGGTGTGCACTGGGCGAATCAAATTCAAAGTATCCTTATTGTAACAATGGATCGTAGGGTGATTGTTCTGGATTCGAAAACCCTGGAGGTAAAGCGCCTCTACCGTGGGCGTGCATTAGTCGACACTATTGATGGATACATGTACGCCCATGATAGTGTACAGTCCGTCAAGGTGGGTGGAAAGATCAAGGCAAAGGAAAAGCGGTTCGGTCCGAAAGGTGCGAGAGACTTGTTTGGAGCCGCCTCTACAAGTAGTAGTGGTGTTGGTGGGAGTCCAGTTGCCTATCCTGTGAAACAGCACTCTAGTGAATCTAAAAGAAAAATGCCGGCTGCCGCAACAGCGTTAGCGCCACCCGGTACGGGTCCCTATGTCCAGTGCCGTGTGGAGGAGTGCATGCTTGCAGGTCTTGTGGATTCCGTATCTTGTTCACTTTTTCATCATTCTATGCTGCGAGAAGAAGTGCTACTTATCGCAACGGTAGTGGGTGAGGTTCGATTCTATGTGATTCCAAAGGCTTTACGAAGGGTGGTCTCCCCGTATGCGGTAGTCCGATTGCATGAAAAACGCATCAACAAAATGAGCATCCTTTTTGATAGTAATGCCCTTTTAACGGCGTCTGATGATGGTGTAGTGAAAATGACTTCCCTAGATACAGGTGTACATCTAAGAACTTTTTTTACTTCGGGATCAGAACAGCACTCCGCCGTGCATGATTTTGCAGTGAATACACAGCTGCGTCTGCTTGTAACTGTGGGCCCGGAA